ACAGTCTCCTGAAGAAAGTCTTTTTCTTTATCAATAACACCAATAGTCTTTTTCATCACGTTAGTCTCCTCATCCTGTGAAGTCACCTTAAGGTTCAGTTTATCTATAAATGAAAAGAAATGTTTGTTAGAGTAAATTAGGATTAGCAAAAAAAAAAAAAAAATTATCATAGTAATAAATTTAAAAACATTTACCTATTTTTTCCTCCAGTATTTTAATCTGTGACTGGGCTGATTCAAGTTCACCTCTTTTTATGCTAAGTCGGTGTTGATAATCATCAAGTGACCGCTGCAGCTGCTCATTTACTAGCCTAAAGAATCAGTGGATAAAAACAGATGGTACTCTTTATCTCTCATAGAAATAATTTTTTAAATGAGAGATCTTAAAACATATTTTGATTTCTTAATTGTTTGATTTTATTTCTTATTTTAAAGCTCTTCCAGTATAATCAATGGCATTATAGTGCGTATTATTATTTCTTGCTGTCCACCTTTCTTCTTCGAAATGGTTTTATCTTTTCCAAAATAATACAGTATAAAAATTAAATTAATTGCATACTCTTTACTAGAGGCTTCCTGGTAGCTTTAAAGCCCTTCTTGGTCTCCTAATAAAACCAAGTAATTGCTGTCAACCCCCTTTCCCTTAAAATCTATTTCCAATACTGGAAGCAAAGAAAAGGTCCCAATCCTGTTTTTGTAGCATGGCCTGGCACATCAAAGGATTATCCATAAATGCTGACCAATCAGCTCTTAATTTTGCTTCTTCCTATTCTGACTTTTTTTGGCGGGTAGTCAACTAGAGGTCATAGTAAGCAGGGGAAGTAGGCATTTCTTGTAGTGCAATGGGAATTTAAGACTAAAGATTAGTTTCAGGGAGCAAAAGGAAGGACGCACTGAGGACTAGGTGGTAAATAATAAATATAATTTTAGAGGAATCTCTTACTGATCAGTAAGGTTATTTTTTTTAGAAATAATGTCCCTGGAAACTGTAACAGCAGGAATTTGCTCTCATGTTACCTGGAGTCTTCGGAATGCTTTTATCCCTGACGTAGGAGTTCTTAAACTTGCCTTGCTGGGAAGACATGGTTCTTACTCAGGCTATTTATCAGGAGCTCCCACAGGTTCATTTTAGGTTTTATTTGAGGATGGGACAGGGAAGAATACAGTAAGCAAGGCTTCACTTAGAACTGCCTAATAGGGAGAAGGTTTGGATTATGAAACCACTACTAAGATGGGACATCTCCATAGAAATGGAAAAGTTTTATGACAATACTGGAGTATTCTAAAAGACAAAAGACGTGACTCCGACCGTTCTAATATCAAGTGAATGACGACCAAACAGTAGGGAGGAAAATCAGGCTGAGACTAACTTCTTTAAAACTGTTCAAACAGATTCTCAGAAGGACACTAGGTTCAAGGAATTTTACTTTATAAAACTGTCTGAGAGGACCAGATGGCTGCACTATACTCAGCTGTTCCTAAAAGCTACAGCTATTGATTTGTGAGGTATAACTATAGGTAGTGAAGAGAGAAGAAACCAAGCTAATATTCATCATATTGGTACTTTATATATGTTAGTTCATTTATTCCTGACTATTCCATGACTAGAACTATTACCCTAATTTTATAGAAACAAATAACTAATAACTTGTCCAAGGTCACAAAGGTAGTAAAAGGCAAAGAAAGGATGCAAATCTAGGCTAGTCCAGCCTGTATCAATGTTTTACTACACCACATTGTCTTCCATGCAGAGGACAGGGAGATCAACATCCTCTACGTGGCAGAGAAAACACACGACTGTAAGATACAAAGAATCCATTAAAAAATGGAACAGCCCACAGAGATTATAGTATAGAACACTGAGTAGTTGGCAGTGCTTGAAATCCTAAGCATTTACACTTAAGTTCATAAGCAATTCAACAGTTCAAAAGCATAACTAATTACCTAATGAAAGTGGAGTTGATAAAGGACTGATAGGTGGAGGTAGACACCACCTAAAAAAGGTTTTGGGTGAGTCTGAAAAACAGCTTTGCCTTTTCATATTCTAGTATAGAGGGAAGGGGGCAACAGGGATTGTATATAGCAGACCTTGAAGATGACTTTTCCGACTGAAGTATTGCTAAGATAAAGGTCTTCAGAATGAAAGAATGGTGTGTAAACATTCATAGGGAAGAGTATTTGGGGGAACTACCATATCATTTGTTCATAATGGAGTTTGGAAAGAAAAATCTGAGAACCTTTTGAGAATCAAGTTGTTAATAAAAATGAATCAATTTCTTAGCTTCAAAAGTGCTATAAACATAGCAAAGCAAAGTGACGACTTCCTACCACAAAGTGGAGCAATCGACCTGAACCTAGAACCAAAGCTGCAGCTCTCTACTTTCTAGCCATGTGACTAGGTAGGTCTATCTCTCTGAGCCTAAAATTCCTCAGTCATATTACCTTACATGGAAGTATGTATGCTCTAATTTTAGGGGGCAAAAAAATATTTCCCTTCATGATGAAGTATATTTTAAACAAAGACAGCCATCTTAAAGGGTCATTTATAGATAAGAAGAGTTCAAGTTCTAAAATGGAGCTGAAGCTCCATCTAAGAGGGGTAAGTTTGGAATTTTAATGGCCTATTAGAAGAAGAAGTCTTGGTAGCGCAGCGGTTAAGCACTCAGCTGCTAACTGAAAGGTCAGTATTCGAACCTATGCAACTCCATGAGCTCAGCTGTCCTGGTTTAGGGCTCTGGCTCTTCTTCAAGTCTTGATTTAAAAAAAAAAAAAAGGTAGGCATGTCCAGAAGACAGTTCCTAGACATTCTGGGGGAATCTATGAGCTTTTTTTCCCTGTATTAAAACCAATCAAAAACCCATCAAGTCAATTCCGACTCATAGTGGCTCTGATGGTTAATGGTGTCAACTTGGCTAGGCTATGATTCTCAGTGGTTTGGCAGACATTGGACTGATTACTTTTCCATAATGTAATATAATGCAATCACTTCCATGATGAGATATGACATAATGTAATCACCTCCATGATGAGATCTGCTTTGAGCAGCCAATCAGTTGAAAGAAGAGTTTCCTTAGTGGTATGGCCCGCCTCCAGAATATAAATGGATGTTCCAGCAAGGCTCACTTTCCCCCTGGATCCTGCATCTGACTCATCATCACCTGACCAGCAGCTTACCATCTGACCTACCAATTTTGGGTTTATCAGTCCCTGCAACCACGTGAGTCAGAAGAAGCCTCCAGCCTGACACCTGACCCGTGGACTGGGGACCTGCCAGCCTCCACAACTATGTGAGCTATTCCCTTGAATTAAATCTCTCTCTCTATATTTATATATATGTAAAATGTGTGTTTCACTCGTTTTCTTCCTCTAGAGGATCCAGCCTAAAGCAGCGACATTATAGGGCAAAGTAGAACTGTCCATTAGGGTTTCCAAGGCTGTAATCTTTACAAAAGCAGACTGTCACATCTTTCTCCCAAGAAGCAGCTGGTGGGTTTGAACTGCAGACCTCTCAGCAGCAGAGCATTTAATCACTATGCCACCAAGTCGTCTTCTTTCCCTTATTAGATAAGGGTTATTTGATTAAGAAATGGTTATAATTCTCTTAGCAAATAAATACTTCTCAAGGGAGACAGTTATATTTGGTTTTCTGAATACACCTAAACAAATCCTAGTACAACTATTATCAGTACAACAACTGATACCTATTACTATAATCATAACTCTAACTTGAGTTCATAGGCCATTTCCAGGAAAATTTACTAAATCATTTGATCCTGGATTAAGTATATAATCCTCTGGTTTTGAACAAGGTACACAAAGACTTAGACTAAGGTGAACTGAAAATAGTTTGACAGTATCTTCAGTCATGGGGGTCTAATTGTTTACAGCCTCATAAAACAGTTGTGAGGATTAAGGCTGTTTACTATGGTGTTGACTGAAAAAAGCTAGTTGTATAACTGGACAGTAAACAATTTATCCTCAAGCAGGGGTTGGCAAACTATGTTCTGCTGCCCGTTCCTATAAGGCATGAGAGTTAAGGATGATTTTTACATGCTTAAAGGATTGAAAAAAATTTCAAGAGAAGATTAACATTAAAATTATATGAAATAAAAATTTCAGTGTTCATAAATAAAGTTTTATTGGAACACAGTCATGCTCATTCATTTATGTATTGCCTGTGGTAGCTTCCACACTATAAAGACAAGTTGAATAGTTGTTACAGAGACTGTATGGTCTGCATACTCTAAAATACTGACTATATGGATCTTTATAAAAAAGGTTTGCTGACCCCTACTCCAGAGGCTGGCTGGCAAGCTCTAGGGGACTAACAGACCATCCTTTCTGGGTAGAAGAGAAGTTCCCTTATAGCATTATTGAATTTTGGTATAAAATGCCATGTCTCATTAAACGTTACAATTCAAGGGAGACAACTGCCATTTGTTTAAAGAGTGATTAAAAAATGGGATTTTATATTGTGTCCTCTGATTTTGTACCAAGAGACCAGACCAAAGACCCTCTATTTGGACGAACTGAATCTGTGCTTGTTACAGAAAATTCTGTTTGGTGACACTGAAACCTGGTGAAAATCCTTGACTCAGGAAGGAAAAGAGAAGATGGGCCCATCAGGTGGAAGGAAAAGGAACATATGCCTAATCTACCTGAGTACCAGCTTCTTAAATGTTTTCACGTCAAGGGAACAAGAATGTGATGTGATTAAAGGGACGGCAAGATTTCTATTAACCACATCAAAAGTGGCACAAGTTTTGGATAAGGTGGCTTCACTTCCATAAAGTGCTTGGTATTATGGTTTGTACTGGGTTCAGCTTGGGATCAGGACCCTACGGCCTGCACTCTTGGTTCTACCCACACTTACCGACATGGAGAGTGTGATGAACACACTTCCCTCAGAGACAAGATAAGTCATACCTTCTGTAGAAGCAAAACAAAATTGTGAAAGCATGCAATTTCTCCAGACTATGCAAGGTAGAGAGAAAAATCCTCACAACCCCCTCCTACGGGACTGTAACTGAATAAACTCCTAGGTGAGAGAAGTGGCAGACTGAATTCACAAGAGAAAAGAACATTAGTGTAAGAAAGAAAACTCCAACAGAGCTGTAGGCTAAGGGATCCAAGAGAAGGTATTCTCCTGAGGGGAAAGGGCAGTTGTAGCTATAATCTGAAGGAAAAAGCAAAATAGATTAAATGCCAGATCCATCCAACTGGAAAACAAAAGGAAAAGGGCAGATTAGTAATTCTGGGTGACAGAAGTATACCATAGCATGTTGGACCTAAATATAGACATGGACCAGAAGAAGAGGGGCTGGCCCGTTCAGCTCTCCTTAATAGGGTGTATATAATTGGTTGCCGTCAAGTTGATTCCGACTCATAGCGACCCTACAGGACAAAGTAGAACTGCCCCATAGGGTTTCCAAGGAGCGGCTGGTGGGTTTGAACTGCCAACTTTCTGGTTAGCAGCCATAGCTCTTGCAAAAAAGAAAAGAAAGCTGCTTCTACCTTAGTTCTTCCTAAAGTCAAACTTGTAGTCAGGGTAGCAAACGAACAAAAACTGGAGCTGCCTTATGAGTCACTAATACGGCACTCCTTAACTAACTGTGCCGTAGGGGAACCTGATGGGAAAGGGAAGGGAAGAAGAGAGGGCCCTTCAATATTTCAGTGAGCGTGAAATTAACAACCTATTGATGAAAATGGCAGTCATTTTAGAAAAACTTGAATTGCATTAATGTGAAATACTTAACAAGGAAAGGAAAGGAAGGGGAAGAAGAGAAGGAAGGAAGGAAACGAAAAAAGGTTTCTGAAAATTATTTTTGAATTTAGTTAAATTTCCTATCTTTCTGCCTTTACTCCAAAAGCAGTCTCTTCATTTACAGTCACCCAACTCCAACTCGTTTCACTTTACCCACCCCTAGGTGTCCATTCGCTGCCCAAATCCAACACTTCACTAGCATCCTCATCAGCAACCTGAAATCCACGAGTCCTTTTTACTTCTGCCACAGCCTAACCAGACCGCAATCCTAGGTCATAACTAAGCATCTGCTAGGAGCATCTTCTGCTCCTAGCCTGCTGAATATTACTAGAGAAATAACACATAAATATACAAATTTATAGCAATGTTGTGTTCTGTCAAGTTGATTCCGACTCACAGCAACCCTATATGACACCGCAGAAGTACCCCACAGCGTTTCCTAGGCTGTAATCTTTACAGGGGCAGATCTCCAGGTCTTTTCTCCCACGGAGCCACTGGTGGGTTTGAACCACTGATCTTCCGGTTAGCCGCTGAGCGCTTAACCACTGTGCCACCAGGGTTCTTTATAATCCCACTGCCATAGAATCAATTCTGACTCATAGCAACCCTTAATTTATGGCACTACTAATTTGGATCTTCCGTTAATCCTTTCATTACCTGTCCCTAACCAGCTCTTTGGCACTCCCCACTGTGACTGTGAGGCAGTGTGAGAACTGAAAATAAACTTTTGGATATGAAAATCAGAACACCCCTGGTGAATTCAGATACGGAGAAGGGCTCCATATCTTCATAATTCTCAGAAAGTATGCCCCTGCTCAGTTTATATAGATTGACGCTATTTAAATGAATTGTGGCACAGTTGAACTATATACGTAAACACACGTACAATGT